CCAACACATACTCTGTTTGAGCATTGGACATGCATTCCTCTAAATGCAATGAACGGACTTCACTTTAATGTGGTTTTATCACATTAAATTGATTCAGAACTGCTATTTTATCATCCATTGTGGACATGAATCACATTATCCAGTTATGACTCATTTTTCCTGTGAGGGCGTTGCTCTAGTGCTAACCTGCCAGAATAGAGTGGACACAATCATCCTTAAACAATGTGTTCATAGATATTTCCAATCACCTACACATCACATACTCATATACATTCCATTCCATATGTGCTCTTCATACAAACTTGTGAGACTATTCAATCACTAGCTTGTTATTAGGTCCTACAAAGTGCCCTAGGTTTTAGTAGACATGTTGAAGGTGACACGTGCTCCTTTATTATGATATATTATATTTTAAACTATCACTTGTTTTTGCACTGCGCAACGATAACATAAGGGCATTTTATAGAAGGCACAGTGCATTCTTTACGCTTAAATGTAATACTCATCACAGTGCGTATTCACGCCGCCGCGCACTGAGAATCTGACATAGCGTCACCCTATTCTTGAACCCTCGTGTTGATTAAAGAGCGCGAGAAAACCGAATCTTTCCGCGCGGCTCGGATGAGTCTGGATCGTTATAACAGTCATTTCGACGCTTTAAAACTGCCAATAGTGCTCGCCGCACATGTGCCCTTTGTCCCAGAATTCCTAAATCCCCACCACGTGTTATTTCCTAGTCTCGTAACATTAATTCTTTTGAAACATGCCCGCTGTAAAAGGTTTTACACTAAATAAAGTTGGAATCGTATCGCCAAATTGTTTTAAAAGTTACAAGACGCATTTGTTTACTTAGTTAAAGATGCACTGCCTACGATAGACTTACGCATTCCGTTTAAAATGCGAGTAAAACAAACTTCCAATTTACACAACATTAAAGGGTGTCGTGAGAGTAGTAAAAAAGCAAAAAATCCCAAAAGGTATTTGTAGGCTCAATTCCAAGTTGCAACCTTTAACACGTGTCCATTCCAGACCGATACATTTTTGTTTTTATAATCAAATATTTCACCCATTACATAACTACTTATGTTTCATCTTCATAATAAATGCAATTCCTCACTGAACTTTATCATTTTAGAGAAGAATATATTAAGCTACGCATCGATCGACTACACAAATATTACGGATAGGCTGAATACTTATCCCGTCATCGTGAGAACATCAGCAATTTCGAGAGGAATTTCAAAACATCTCCCAGAAAAGCTCGCACACTTTACCTTGTGAACGCGGAATCTCTGTCGGCGGTGCGTAGAATCTCTGAGAAGTGTCCTGGAATCAACAGGTCGAGCCCTGTCTCGCGTCCTGCAACCGAAGCGAAATGTTTCCCTGAACTAAATTAACTACAAAACAACAACAATGTATCAACATTCCACTCTGTGCTTCCGCAAGCACTGACGTCACCGACTCCTCGTGACCGCCCCCTCCATTCATGAAAATAACTTTATGCTGACGTCAGTCAGGCGGGAAACCAGGGGAGGCCAGAAATAGACGCAACTGAATACTTTGGGAAGGTTTGTTGTATTTATCGCTATAATCGAGCATTTATGTGTCAAATTATGTGTACGTACAGCGAAAAGTTATTTTAGCACTTTGTGGAATGATCTTGAGGTAGACATTGACAAAAGGTCGAGTTTGTTCGTCAGTGTCCTAAATATAGGCTATATCTGTGGTATGACATGACTGTTATGAGAACTCGTACTCCCATTTGCATCTTTCTTTGGTCTTTCTGTAATGGCAGTGTTTATATATATATATATATATATATATATAAAACGTCTGTATTGCACGTCAGTGAAGGGAATCCAAAGCGCCCTCTGTCTGTCATAAAAACTGCTTTACAGTTGTTGAAAATAAGCATACGAAGCAGTTGCAAACACCTTCTGTGCTCACATTTCATTTGCTTCCACATGGAAGGGAACGTGACAGTGAGATAGCCATTCTAGATGATGTGATTAATTTTATGCATATATTTTCATAACCAATGGATTTTTGAATAATAAGATCTAAAACAATGTAGCTCTTATATGCACAACATTGTGTTGTCTGTGGGGCATTGTTTTAGCATCATTGATACACTATTACAGTTTTTTTTTTTCCTGTTTTCATTTTAATTTCAACGTTTTAGCAATTTTGTTGTGTTTTGTTATTTTTTATTAGTTTTTTATATATTTAAAGTTTTCATTTATTCTATTTCAGTTTTAGTGATTTTAATACATCAAGATTAACTAAAGAAAATAAGGAATGTTGCTTTGGCAACTATCTGAAAAAAAAAAATACTTTATTTTATTTCAATTACATTTTACATTATTTAAAGTAACAAAAATGTTTTATGGTTTTAGTTTTATAATAACCCTGCTGTGGGGTAAATGCAAAGTAATCTAATGTAATCTAATAATATAATATAATATAATAGTGCATTTTACTTATTTACAGTGAATAAAAAGATAAACCAGAATACAATTCTGTAACTTAAGAAATGATTTATTCATATTTAATTGATTGTTTATATCATTTTCATTTATTTATGCTTAAATTATGTGGACCTAACTGTTTATAGCAGGTTTAGTTCTCCATATGCTGTAGCTCAGTCATTCTCTCACTTTCTTTACCAGTAAGTGACTCAACACAAACACATTCACTCTCAGAGAAAGCATATGGGTTTGATATCAATGTTTGGGCTTCTGACGCCTTGATTCTTTCATGCCCAGAATTCTGGGTGGCATTTAATTTATTCTATGATCAGTATATTGAGTTTTAACGTAAGCTGAAAACATGGTTTTTGTTCACATTAAATCTTTGCATGAGTGTCTGTGTGTGTATATATTCTCACAACATATTGCACAGCATAATATTTAAAAACCTTTAAGAAATCTTTAAAATAAAGTAAAATATCTTAAAAATTCAAGTAATTTCAAAAACTAATCATTAAAGTTTGATGAAAATCATTCTCTGTCCATTATAAATACTCACGGAAAGGTGAAAAATATCACTTTACAAAAAAAAAAAAAACCCCAAACCTGATCTTTGGAGCATTCTTATGGAAGCAAAGCATCTATATACACACCTCAAAAGAGAAAAAGACACATGTAGCTCAAATAACATAAAAGAAGTGATGGACTGCCTCTACTTCTCGTGGGATCCCTATGGGACTTGTGGGAAACCACCATGTGGATGTAAAAAAAAAAAAAAAAGAAGAGAAATCTTTTAAGTGGAAACACATCCTCAAGTTCTTAAGATCATGCCGGCTTAAGCCAAACATTAGACAGACCTGCGCTAATCTTCCAAGACTAAAAATATGTTTGAATGGCACTTTACCCATATTGTATATCATTTCTGATACTATAAAGAATCCTGATAATTTCTCACTTTTTTTTTTTCAAATTTATTTTTGCAGGTTTTAAATTTCCCCCGTGACAATGGATTTATATTTGGAATAGTGACTAGTGTGCCAATGACATCATAAAAATATGGTTAATATGAAAAACACTTTATATAACAAGTGGGCAGTTTGGTGTGGCAAATGGGTAAGTAATAAGTCTTGTATTTTGACTTTGGCAAAACATTGTTAATTAGGGAATATTTTTTTAAAAATCCATCACAACTGAAATACTCAGCAAATCTGCCTTGTAGTTTAGGGAAACACATGGAATATTTTGTTCCACTTGCAACTTTTTAGAAGTGGCATGCATATTTCATATCTGGAAGGCTTTCAGAAGTAGCCATTCATTGTTCCTGTCAGAGAAGTATGTTTTCAACAATACTTACAGCAACTGTAACCAGGCACATATGTGTATTTTCTCCGATGAGGTCAGATTACAAGCACATGTTGTTTTTGCTGAGTACCTTACAGTGCGTGCTCTCTGCGGTGTTCTTTTCTGGGTGAAAGTTCTGTTTTCTTTTGTCTGGCAGGCACAGTAATGTCTGTTTCCATGTCTGACATCATTTTCAAAGTAAGGATTCTTGGAAACATTATTCCTTGTAGTCCCCAAACGCTTCATAGCAACAGTGCCACCCTGAGACATCTAATCACCCTGAGTGTATGTGGTTTAAGCGAAAGGTAATACGATTATGTGGTTGTTTACATGTTACATGTCTGTGGTTGTTAAAGTCAGGGTTGAAAACTCTTATGGGTCAATGATATGGCCCTAAAATGAAATAAATAAATGCACAACATATACTTATTTACTGACTTTATCAATAAGATTCAAGATAAACATCCATTAACACACAGAAGAAATTACAAATGATTAGGGTTGCAGAATAACTTAACTTGTCCTGAGTGCCAAATGGTTCCTAATGTAACTATTATTTATAATATGTTATTAATATTACTCTCGTATGATTTTTTCCCCTGATAGCTGATTCAGGCTCCAGTGCTATAGATGGCGCTGTCGCAGTGCCTGGAAACTCTCCCACTGCAGCAGAAGTAGAAACAGTAGATCATGTAGCAGCGCCGTTGATAAACTGAGGTAGTTTATAAATATTTTCTTCATATTATGTACTTACTATGTCCGTATATTAAATATTTTTGACTGTTAGCACTAGATGGTATTTTGTTACATTTCGGCTAATGTTAGATTTTTTTGTAATACATTACCTGCCAAAATATCTGGGGTTTCATGACCCTTTAAAGACTCAAAGACCAGCGACAGCTTGTAAACAGTACAGAAGACATTGAAATAAGGGCTCATAAAGGTAATAAAAGGCAATAAATGTCGTTTTATCAACACTGCACAGCATGATGAATTAGTCAGTCGGTTCTTAGTGTTACAATATCAAGGCTATCAGCTCCAAATAGGCCATATCAACAAACGACGCAGCTTGTATAGTTTACCTGAATGCAGTTTTTGTATGGTTTGATGATATTGTAATTCCTCTACTGTAATTCAAACTTGTGGTGTTTATGTCTCTTACAGTTACAATAAGTTGGAAATTGTGTCAAAATGAATCGACCAAAGCCAACAAGCATTAGGCGCCCTAGTAACACCAAACCATCAGGTAAGATAAGATTTTAGCTGTGATTATGGCAAAGAAATGAACTCTGTATACTTCTCGGACACATCTTTATCTTCCTGTGATGTCCCTCAGGTCACCCACCTCCAGGAGATTTCATTGCTCTTGGAGCGAAGAGTCAGAGCAGTGAGCCGAAAGCAAACCCAGCTCTCTTGAAGCCAGCATCCACCGGTTTGCCCCCAGACCGCAAGAGAGAGGCGTCTTCATCTCTTCCCTCTTCCTCCAGCCTGTCCAGTCTTTCCAAACGGCCCAAGCACTCTTCTACTCCACCCAGCGCCCTCTCACGCCTCGCTGAGGTAGCTGCTGTTGACAAAAGATCAATATCCCCCTCCATCAAAGAGCCATCTGTAGTTCCTATTGAAGGTGAGATTAACAAACGTTTTTATTTTTAATTTCAGAAAACTTTCATATATCTAATTTAGGGTTTTAAAGTAAAGTGTAAATATTAAAGGGTCCTATTATGCTCTTTTACAAAGTCTTGATTTTGATTTGGGGGTGTACTAAAGTGAAAAAGCATAATAGGACCCCTTTAACAAATTAAAACAGTGGCATGTAGCATTCTAGTATTTATTTATTTTTTTCAGTTAAATAGATATTGCTTTTTCATTATTTCATAATTTTTTTTTTCAGAGCATTTTTAATGAAAGAACAATGAAAAGATTAAAAATATTACATGCAATAGAACAAGTTTTTATGAAACAGCAGTATCAAGTATTCCCATTTGAAAAAAGTGTCTATTTTCTGAATGCTTGTTAAAGAAGTCAAAGTGCTGTTAAAAGTGCGCTTTGTAATAATGTCAACATTTTTTTGGTTCTGTTCTGTCTGTTTACATGCAGTTCAGACAATGTAACAGTATTTACATATAGTATGTTTCCAAGACTGGCATTTTGACCCGTTTGAAGTGTGTTTGACTATTTTACAGCAACTATTTTTGTATTTAAGTGTTATTTTTAGACATCTGTAGTCCAATCCAGTGTTCATATTTTCATAGACCTTGTTTTTATTCACAGTGTACATTCACACAGCATGTGATTGATTGTTTTTCAGTGTCTCCTGCTGTGCTTCTGGATGAGATTGAGGCAGCGGAGGCAGAGGGTAATGATGACCGCATTGAGGGTGTGCTATGTGGGGCTGTCAAACAACTGAAGATGAACCGAGCCAAGCCCGACATGACGCTATACCTCAGCCTCATGTTTCTCGCCAAAATCAAGCCCAATGTCTTTGCAACAGAGGGTGTGATAGAGGTAGATAGAATCACATGTGCTACAGTACTGTAATTTCCTGTTGCTGCTGGTGACTAAACTTATTGTGTTAAATGTCTTTATTCAGGCTCTCTGCAGTTTGCTCCGCCGTGACGCCTCAATCAACTTTAAGGCCAAGGGGAACAACCT